CGGCATTTTCACTGAGAAAACCGAGGCCAGAAAGCGAGAGGCCCGCGACGAAGCGAAAACCCCCCCAGTCGGATCCCGTTTTCGTAAACGCTCGACTCCGACTATCCGCGTATCGGGAGCGACCCGTGTACCTCGACGCGCATGCGCATCGCACCGTAACGCGCACGCGTCACCGTTCGCTGCCGCTGCTCTTATCAGCGCACTATTCTACTGCCGTTAGGAATCAGGAGACGTGCGACGACACTTTCCCCACCCTTCCACTTTACTCCCGCTCTCCCTGTACACCCTTCGATTTCACGGTGAGCCACTGTTGGAGAAAGGGCGAATGAATAGACGCGTGCGCGATGACACGAAAACACGTAATTTCATCTCTACGGAGGATGGACATCGTATTTAAATGATTGATTCCGAGATTATTCGTTTTACTTCGATAAATGCGAGTTTCAATGAAATAAATCTGTCTGAAAATGTAACATTAAGATAAAATTCGCAATGTCCGCTACGTCTTTTGAATATAATAGTAAGAATTATTTTATTGTATTTGCTATACTTATTTATACTATATTATTTCAAATAGTTATTCTAAGTTTAATCCATTTTGAATTATCTTATGTATTTTATCAAATTAATCAATTAATCAATTAAATTAATCAATTAATCAATTAAATTAATCAATTAATTTAAAAAAAAAATAATTTATAAAATGGTTAAACTAAATAATTATAAAATGGTTTAACTTTGTATCTATGTATAAATTGTTATAATCTTATTGTTACTCATTTTTAAATGGAAATATCTGAAATATAAATAAAATCAGGAATTATTTGGAAGTTTTTTTGAATCTTGATAAAAATCTTAATAAGATCGAATATAACAAATGCATTTTAAATTTTTTTTTTGTTTAAAAAATTTTTTTTACGTACAATATTAAATCCATGCAACGAATTATTATCTATTATTATCTAATTCTATGATGGATCCGGAATAGGAATTTGAGCTATTCGACCTTCTAACATATCCTGAAGAAGAATATTTATTTCCTGTAAATAGATTATTTTTTACTCTTTCATCTTAGATTAAAAAATCATTATATTATAATACATATAGAAGATGATAATATAGAAGAACATATTTATTATAGTTTTTAATTTGAAATATTTACCTTAGAAATAAAAGAAAATAAAATTAAAAAAAAAATTTAATTGATAAATATTTGATATGTAAAAAAAAATTATAAAAAAAAATGAAAAAAATAAAATCTTTAATTTTTTTTCTTTTCCTAATATACAAATTAAATTATTTAACGATGTACCTCTTCTCTCTGAGTTCGTAATCTGTCGATGATCGGTTCATTAAAGTTGGGATCGTTACTTGGATCCTCCAAGATAATTTCGTTGCTTCTTGACTCTTGTGGTATATGAGTAACATAAATCTGTTTGATAGTATCTAAGATAGCCGACGGTCTGGTTTGAGGAAATTGCAAATCGATCGACGAGAAGGAGTCTGTACCGGCAAATATTGCTAATGGCTTTTCGAAATCAGTACACTTGATATCACTATAAGATTTATAATTTTCGAAATGCAAAAAAAATATCAATTTCAATATTCAATATCAAATTTGAAGTATATTATTATTATATTAGTTTAATTCATAGCATAAAAACTTACGAAAATTGTATACCAAATCCATAATAAGATAACAAATCTTTAGTTCTTCGTAATAAAGACTTATCTTTTGCAGAATGATAATAGAGACTTGCTCCTAAAATATGTGCTACAGCTCTTAAGGTTTTACTGATTAATTCTGTTTTATCCAAATCTAAATCCTATTTCAAATTTTTTTCATAATTTATAATTTTTATTATTAAAAAAATACAATAATGATAATATAATGCATAATATATTTTACATTGTCAAAAATGCTTAAAATACCTTAAATTGATCATATTTTCCACCTATAAAACAAAGTCTCATTGGAAATGGATCAATTTCTCTCTCCACAATTTTTTTCCGTTCTTTAATACGCTGTTTTTTAAGTTCCTGAATTATTTTATCGTCATAACTCATTTTCATTGCATTACGCACTACTGAGAGAGCTTCTTCAAACGTGGTCCATAAAATCTCTGGTTGCGATAAGTCCAGCATAACCAATATCGTAACATGATGAGGAGAATGAGTCAAAGACGAACCTGTCATTGCTGCTGATACTAACGAAGAAGTTAAATGTCCTACTTCCCAAACATGTACGATATTTTTTATCTACATCGATAACAAAAAATAAATAACTATTAAAGTCACAGTTAAATATTCATAATATACGAATGTACATTACGTAATACTTTATATTTAATTTTTTTCTTTTTCATTAGTATTTTGTAATCATTTTTCAAAATTATTAACATTATATTATTATATCATATAAATTATAATATTTTTAATTAAAATAAAAAAATAAAAATAAAGGAGAACGAGAATGAAATAGAATGTAAAACTAAGTGATTAATGTTATTTTTAATGTAAAATCAAATTTATTTAAAAGTCATGTTATTTATTTGTATAATATTTATTATAAAATAAAACTTTTCAAATTTAAATATTTGAAATATATGTATCAATATATTATTATCGATATATTATGGTAATTTTAATAAATAGATAGATTATTTATTATTATATATTTATATTTTTTGAATTATAATACATGCCTTGCATAAAATAATGATGTTTTTTTATTTATTTTTTAATGAATTAATATTATCTGAATATTATTTATTTTTATTGATAAAAATTTGCATATTATATTTATTTATTTTGTAAATGATATTTTATGTATTCTAAAAAACTTACTAAACTTTTTCCAGCCTTACGTCCAAAAGAATAATCCATTGCGATAGTTGGTTTTGGTGCTTCGTCTTTTTCAAGAAATCGATGTATGATTGTAGTTTTACCCTAAGAATACATATTTCTTTCTCATAAATATAGATATATAATCTGTATTAATATTATTTAATATTTTTAATATACTACATACGACTCTCTTGCTACCAACAATGATAATTGAGCGTTCGTGTGTTTCATTAGGATTAGTTTTACGTCGTTGCTCTTCTTCTAAACAAAAACGTAAAGCAATATCTCTAACATTTTCTTCGCTAAAACATAATCACGTAATATATGTTTTGATTTTTATAAATATAAACAATTCAATAAGATAATAATTATTGTTAATATATAACTGTGTTTTACGATAGATATAAGTATTATTATAAGTTTGATAATGTAAATATAAGGTTAGCAGATACATACGAATTTTGATCTGCCATTTGTTTTTAATCCAAAATTTATTCACAATTATTGTTGCTATAATAAATGCACAGTAGTTTATATTTATTTTGTATCTTCTTTTTGGGTATAGGTTATGAACATGTTTTGATATTCGTTGTTATAGCTACGCAGAAAGCTCAATTTAAAAATTCGTATGTAAATTATAAATAAGATTCAAAAATTTTAACAAACTTATTATTTAACTATTATTTTTTAATATATCACATCAATATTGATTATTAAAACAAAAAAATAAGAATAAAAATTAAGAAATAAATATATTCGTTTGATTGAAATAATTTTGATTTTGTACGATTAATGTAGTAAAAATATATAAAAATATAAAACATTATAAAATTTTTTTATATGTTGCTGTTACTAATTTTTTGTAATATTATTAATAAATTATCTATTATATGATAAAATAATTACATTTAAATTTTTCTATTTTTTTTTTTTATATACGTATTCAATAATAAAATATTAGTTTTGTCAATGAAATTTAAAGTCAATTTAAAATCCATATAGAAAAACCTTTTTTGAATAAATTATTTATAAATTAAAATACAAATAATTAATGTTGCATTTTTATTTATGTACAAGATGGACTAGACAAAATTGAAATGCACCATATACTTAAAGATTTATAATAAGTTAAAACTATGATAAATAAATATAATTTTAAATCAATATGCCATAATTGCATAATTATCAAATCATAATTGTATAATTTAATATTAATGGAATGTAATAGGAATAATTAATAGTTTTATCTTGATTATGAGGATAAAATAAATATTTACAATATATTACAAAAATTGCAATTTTAAATTATGTAATTCTTTTAATTTTCTTTTAAATAATAATAAACACATGTAATGAAAAATTTAATATTATTAAACTAGATTATTTTTTTATCTTTTTTGTGAATTATTAACCAGTTTTTTTTGTAATAGTAGATTACAATATTGTACATATATGTATATATTTATATGCACAAAAGTATGAGAAATAGGGTATTTTAAAAACTTTGATAAAAACCCTCATATTAATGTATTCTATTAAATAATAGTAAGATATGCTTACTATTAAGAAACTAGTTTAATAATCTGTCAATAAAAACAGATTAGTGCAAATAGTACACAATATATAAAAATGTTAAATAGTTATTGCCAGAATTTATCTGACAATACTCTTCATTCAGTTAGTTTAAGCAATGAACACAACAATAAAAGCAGTCATATTGCATCTTTCATATCTTATGTTAGGTCTTCATATATTTTATTAACAAAATGTATATATTTTTAATTTCTTATTATGTATTATATCTTCAAAAAGATTCCAATTTTGAAAAAACAAATATAAATATAAATAATGCAAAAACAATCATAGAAAAATGAATTGATTTGAATTATTTTATAAATAACAATAACAAATGTTTAGTATGTTTACTATTGTATTCAATTGCAAATAAATTTTATATATTTAATCTTAAAGGTATGGAAGAAAAAATAACTTTCTACTATTCATATAGATTTCTTTGTATAGTTATTCAGACCTATGTATGAAATTTTACATTTGAACACTATGGCGTACAAGATTTGGGAGACATAAAATATGTGTAATTTAAGTTAACTTGTAATTTGTATTAAAATATCAATAAACAATACAAGTAACATCATATTTCTTAAAGAAAATTGTTTACTATTTACACATATTTTCAAAATCATATTTTCAAAAATATCGAATATAGAGCATTTTATAAAAATGCTGTTAAGAAATTCCTTATATTAATATTACCAAACCATTGCATTCCATACAATCTTATAAATAAAATAATTATAAACATTAATATGTGGTTAATTTTAATACAAGCCACATCATTAAAAATTCATCAAAACATTAATAGTCATTAAGATGCAACGCATGTGAAGGAAGACTGTAATAAAGATTAGTCACCTTTTTCTACAATGTTTCATTGCTTCTATTATGCAATATATTACACGCTCTGCATGTTATCTGGTCCATATATCACTCATCCAATTATCATCTAACTCATTAGTTGGTAATACTTTTAATTTTCGTAATGCCTCAACATAAAATGTTAATTCAGATGTAACTACACCATGTTGTGGACCACCATTATTCACTATATTCATTTTGACTAATTGCTCTCTAAGTTTTTCTTTGAAAGATGTATTTACTGTACGATATAAAGTTTGTACTTCAACTTCTGGGAGAATTCCCGAAACTGCTTCATGTAATTTCATTAAATAACTGTAATTAACGATTTTAAATATTTAATGATTATAATAAATAAAAAAATTAAATTATATAATACTGTACCTAGAAATATTTCTAAATGATTTCGATGGTACTGGCGGTCTTGCAGTCCATTTCGATATTTGACCCCCCAATAGATTGTCGACAATAGTTAGAATTTTGCTTTCAATTTCTTTCACATGCGCACGAATATCTCTTTCAACACTATCCAATAAAGCAACGCCACCACTTATATTAGATCCACCAAGTCCACGATTAGAATTTTGTTCCGCAAATGCTATAAATAAATTTTATCATTAATATTATAATTGTAATATAAATTAATATTAAATAATTATATTTAATATAAGTTAATATAATAAGTTAATATTTAATAAATATATTTAAATTTACCTTGAAAATGTGATTTAACAAAAGGCATAAACCACAAAATTAATTTTAAACTTCGTGCCGCTAATACAAGTATTGTACTGGTAATTGTTTTTAAACCAGCAACTTGCATAGCGCCGGCTCCAAGAACAAGTTGACAACAACGTGAATTATAATGTCGCAGTAATTCGGCTAAATGTCTTCCAATTGTTCCTGATAAAGCAATTAATTCACTGCCAGTTCTAGAAATAAAATTTTATTGAGCATTTATTGAAATATTTATAAAATTAAAATATTCGTATATTACATTTAATATTTTAAAAATTACCTGCAATACTCATGAATCATTTGTGTAAGCATTAAAGCTGTTCCAACAACGGCATATTTTTCATTTCCCACCATAATAAAATTTTGAATACTACTTTTTTTAACTTTATCATCAATTTTAAATAAATTTGGCGGAAAAGCTTTATTTTCATATATATATGTTACTAATGACTGAAATTCCGGTGGTACATCAGCTTGTTTCCATCTCTCAGATTCCAATAAAAGAGTAAGCTTTGTTTTGAGTTCAGTATGAAATCTTTGAATAAATTTACTAGCTTGTGCCTATATGAAGTATGAAGTATGAAAATATATTTATATATAAATATATTATTTATAAAATATAAATATAAAATTTTTTCAATTAAATAGATTTAAGAATAACGCATACCTTAAATGCAGAACGTAATCCAGTACATTGTTTACCACAGAGTTTTTCACAAGTTTCTGTGAATTTTTCAACTAAATTTGCTAGTTGACATACTTGAGCTGTTGTTGCCCTTTTACTCAACCAGGATGATTTATCATTCCAATTTTGGCATTCTTTTTCTTCTTGTTTGTTATTTGAATTTTCATTGTTAAATTTTTCTTTTTCATTTTGTAATTTATCTTTATCATTTGTACCTGCAGAAAGCAGATTTCCCATTCGCTCATGACAATAATCACAAACAGAAGTTATCATATCATTGAGTTTAAGTGTTACTCGCGAATGTTCTGCTTGAGTTAATAAACGATCAGGTATCGTATCATCGAATGATCCATCACACACTCGGCCAGCTGCAAGATCTACTGTATCTCGCATTACATCATGAACAGCCTAAAAATACATGTAATGTCAAACAATTATTATATTTAGAAAATTAAATTAATTTTAATTATAATTTATATAAAATAATAATTTTATATTTTTATTATACATAGTTATAATATAATGTAACATACTACCTTAACTCGCATTAGAAGAAATGTTAAAGATTGTATAGCATTATGAAGTAAAGTTAATCTTTCCGCAAGAGAAAGTCCACCAACTTCTAAAGCTGCAGCTTGTTGATCACTACAACAATCACTCTCTGCTAAAGCTTCTATAACTCTTTGCTTTGTTACAGCTCGGACTGTGGTCACAGCTTCTTCTTTGTAAGTATCCACAAATTGAAAATGTTTTTGCCGCAGAAGACCAGAAATGATGGAAATAAGTTTATCCTGTTCGTTGAGGATGTACAAATGATCTCACTGGGAAGAGATGCACGACGGTTTGTTTGCTACGAACTAAGTATACAAAATTTTTAAAAATTTTACATATACTTACACCATCCAAAACTGTATTTTCTCCTCCTAATGGTCTATTTAAATCTGCAGTTGCATATCTTTGAAATTCCGTAGATAACATTTTATCAACAAGTTTTTCCATTTCTGTTAATTGAGAACTTAAATGCCTAAGAAAATAAAATTAAATACATCTAATTTTTATATCTTATTATATATCAGCTTTATATTATTTATATAGATAATACCTAAAACTATGTATTCCATTCAATTCCTGTAAAAGTATTTCTTGGGTTGTAGCAATGAGATCTAATGCTGCAACATAATCTGGTGTAGATAACAACAATTGTATCATTGGTTGACTTTGGTGTACTGTAGCCATAAGTTTTAGTTTTTCTTGAACTAACAATCGATTGGATCTCGCTCGTTCCAACCTGAAAATATATTTATTCGAAAATATATACATTCAAATTAATGTATATATAATATTTGAAAAAAATATAAAATAATTTATAATTTACCTTAAAATTTCTAAAGAATCATTGACTAGATACTTATCAACTTGGTGTATATTTTTTCTAAGGGCTTTTAAAACTGTAATAGTTTGAGTAAGTTGCTCCATTAAGGCATCATGAGAAGTCATAGCATGAAAAAATGCTTGAGACTTAGAAGCAACTTGTTCTGCTATTCTAACTTCCACAATATCTAAATAATGACTTAGCTATTACAAGTAAAAATTAAATATATTTATGTTAATGTTTGAACTTTATGAAAATAGTAATATAGTGGAATATTACCTTTTCTTGCATTTGCTTTACATTTATAACAATACTAGAATCTTCATTTAATAATCCATTTTTTGTAAATGGAAATACTGCATAAAAATTATCTTTTTGAGAAAGATCTAAATTAGGTGTTAAAAAAATTTTTGGAATATTGGATAAATCAAATTGCATTCGATCTGTAAAATT